TTTGTAGTACACAGAGAATGTTAGAGAAGAAAATTCGGGACCTGGAGAGTACGTAGTACTTATTAAACTGAGTAAAAAACAATGCTTTCTTAATCTCAACAGAACGTTTCAACAGAGGTCTAACGCGCGAGTACCACGTGTGAATACTCCTGGATTCTTTCTTTTCTGACCACTGAAATGTTTGCCAAATTTTTTGCGAGGCTCAAACGATCGAGCATTAAACATAATTTTCAGTGTTCATTAATTCTAATCGCGCAAGAATTGATGATTGTAACTGTAAAGACGGAAAAGGCATTGAGGCTCTATTGCTGCTGTGATCTTTTAATCCTTACTGTAAAAAGTTATATATTCATTTTCATAAGTTCATTTATAAGCTGACACAGTGGGGGAAAAGAGTATTCATACATCTCGTCTTTTTTAAGATAACTTTACATGAAAATGCAATATTTTTGACAGAACAGATCGTTTGTAATATTGCAACATTAATTTCAATTCTTTGTAAAATTTTATTCGAAAGAATGAGATTGCGGATACTTATTTTACCGACTGTGATTCTCGAGCGTTTTTTTTTTTGCATGCAGTCAATTTTTTAATGTTAAAGGATCTCTGGCATTAATCATCTCGCGCTGCCGGCATACTTATCCGTTTAATATTTGCATGCCGCAATATACTACTTCACACGTACCTATCTTAATTTACGTTGTTTTCTCCTTTTAGTTGTATATTTTTATATTATTTATTCACAGACGAATGTCAGGAGCTCTGCACGTAGATCGCAGTTGTGAACATAATATTTTTAAGATATTTTTGGCGTTTTAAGATTTATTTTAAGGTCCCAACATTATATGTTTTATATAATTGTTGCCGGTGATCTGTCCATGTATCTATGTTTAAATATTGAGTTGTTAAGCGTTAATTATGTAAGATATATTTCCTGAATCTGAATTGTTAATTTAAAAAAAAACTAACGTTATTAAGGAGTTTTTATCAGATTTAATTCCTTTAAGTCTCGCTAAGATAGTTCTAGCAGTAATATTACGAGCTCGTATATTTACTTTTATATTAATGTAACTGTTACTTATAATTTGGTAACGAAGTCAATATTGCAAACGCAATGTAGTTTCCAGGCGTGATACTTTAGGCAACGAAACCACGATCGTTGCTTGGTCGATTGTTGTCGTTTTTTTTCTTTTTTTTTTAAATAAAAATACGCAGTATTACTTATCAACAGATTATTCTTATAATAAAGAATAAATTGCATACGTATATACAAGTAGGAAATCGACAAAATTGAAACATAATGTGCTTTCTGCTGGCAAATTAGCACCTTGCAATTTTTTGTAAATAGCGTTAGGCAAGTTTTATTTTTTCTGGCCTCTCAGTTAGATTCACTTTGAAGCCGGGTTTTGATTCGAAGTAGATTCCAGGCCTATCTCGATGACACAATCAACCAATTCTATAAATAACATTACAATCTCAGCTCATGTACGCGATGTATGTAAAAGTTGTCTGATGCGCCAGATTGAATATAAACGATTAATCGATTAATGTCAAACGGCTTACATGTGAGAGAAGGTATGGTTCTGGAATCGATTCTTGATGTGTGTTTAATACTTTGTGAGACAGCTGGGGACCGTGATGATGATGGGAGAAGTTAGTCCGGGACCACCGCTGCACACACGAGTCGCCCTGCCCGGTCTGGTCGGCAGACACTTATAAAATCTTTCTTTATAGCCGATTGACCGTTTCGTTTCACCTCGCTCAATCACTTTCAATGTACAATTCCTTTCCGGTTATCAGTTCAAAATCAGCCGCACGGTGATTTTAAATATATATTTTAAGTATATATTTATTGCTGTTGTAAATTAATATTTAAGTTTCAATTAATTATTTAACAAGTTCTTCACCTAGCCAAAACGACAAGGGTGCCAAGAACCGTATTAATTGCAAAGAATCAATTGATATCTGATATAACGTGCTGCCGATTTTGATGAAGTCTTTCTAAGCGATTGTATACTGCAACCGATGGCAGAAGCTCGCGACAGGAGCTCATAATCGGAATTGCTGTAGAATTTTTGAGGAACCAGTTGTGCTTCCTGTGCACTTTTTAATAGAATAGAACGGAAAAAGACGAAGGACATTTTAGTCAGGAAATATTTCCGATATATATACACGTTCATCGGTTTCTCTAGATAGATTAATTTTGAAAAAATCATGCCATATGTTGAATATTTCTTCGCGAGCTTTAATTATAGTACTCTGAATGTGTGATGAAAGTCATGATGTGTACAGAATGATTCGCGTGATCCATTACACGTTAATATCTTATATAAAACATACATTGAATAATTATATAACGATAATAATTATATTACATATTTATATATGTATTATATATATTCTATTATGTAATACTCTATATATAACATTATATAATAATTATTGCTATATAATTATTCAAGATATCTGCCGAATTCTTAAAAGTGACTTAATGGAGAATGCATCATTTGCTTGCCAATTGTACAATTATATAAAAAAATCAACGTATGTCTTTGTTTTTCTTATATAATATAATACCTAGTATGTAAATAATGTATTCTCTTTTACCGTTAAGCGTCACCATTAAGAATTTGTTAAAAGTTTAGATTAATTAGTGAGATACTAACTTGTTACAGATTATGCGCGACTCGCATACAGTAATTACGAAATATGAAAATTATAATTAATATATGTCGATGAAATAATGATATAGCGCAAGAATCGAACCTGTATTTAATCGATATACGTAGGGATGAAGCTAAATCAGTTCAGAATTAGTCAGAGATACGCAGTAAGATTTGTACATCGACTTGGCATCCAGGACAACCTATATAGATTGATTTCTATTGCGCGTTACGCGAATCTATTCTATTTGAAGGTATTCCGCATTGATTTGACGACAGATAGAATCACGTTACGTAATCGGATTTTTTCGTCTTACGAAATTATTAAATTTAGATATTTACAGCAGTCGGCGAATTGACTTTGCCGTTATGTACAAAACTATTTACGCGGAGTGCGGGGAACTCCGTTTTACTGTTTACATTGTAACATTTTAAGACTCCTGTTGCCTTGCTGCAATCGTATCAAATTATCACACCAAACGCGAAAAATCGTATAGATTCTTGCATCACCGAAAGCTGTTGTCTCCGCTTTAGAAAGAGATTCATACGATTTTTCGTTTTTAATCATTTTCATAATTTTTAATTGTTATACATATAATGAATAAAAGTTACAATGTGTTACAATGTCTATGTGATTGATTTTTTAATGTAGTAGCAGCAGAGGGCGACCGCGAGTTTTAATCTCACGTATTCTTAACGATATGTAACATTACAACGCGACAATGTACAAGACGGGTTTAAGAGGATTTATCAATTTTTAATTTGTACTTTCGAGCAAAGGGTATATTTATCAGCTTCCTGATATTGTTACAATACTGTTGCGAATTCTCCGGTAGAGTGAAGTCAAATCTACGATACTCCCGAAAAGAAACTTACATCAGTTGTAATTTTTAAATAAGAATGCGAATACGGCGTGAGGATGTGAGAGGACTTTTAATTTAGTCGTTGGCTGTGAAGATTTAATAAAACTGTTCGCGAACGTAGAGTATTAGGAAAATAAATCCTTAGGACAATGTTCAAATAGCATTGTATTTATCAAACATATAACGATTCGCGAATTAATTCTTCGAAATAAGTATGGTGTTCGCGAAGAGATTGTTCTGAGATAAATTGTAACGATCTGCGTTATGGTGAGCGGAATCGCAAAATGAACGTATTGTGCTCCTCCGTATAAATATTCGTGTTCGTGAATCCAATGTATAATGTGTAATCGTAACGCATATATGCAATGAGTATAACAACGTTGTGATACCATGTACCACACTTTGCAATGTTTAATAAAAAGTATTTGTAAAAACATGTGCAAGGTCTACTCTTTCACCATTATTTCGGGAAAGCTGGAAACATGTTTAAGAAAAATACATATTTATTCGTTACTCAAGAAAATCTTCATAATTCTGTTTTACGGAGTCCTGATAAAATTCTTTGTATACATGTGTCGTACAGCCTTTAAAGTCTCACATAACTTGGATTAATATCTTCCTCATTTGTTGGATGTTAAGGTCCCTGAATAGTCATCACAGCTATATTGAACGTGACGTCAGAAGTGAGAAATGACGCGTTAAATTTTATTACGTGCCATTTATAAATAAAGACAATTTGGATAAAACAAAATGATGAGATTACTTTAAAACATTTGTAAAAATGGACGAAAACTATGTTTATCCTCCCTGACAATCGGTAAATAATCGTAAAAAGTGATAAAAGGCACATGAAGTGCTTTTATTCAATGCGCATGCGTAGTTTATTTTCACTTACATGTGCCTTTTATCACATTTTACGATTATTTACTGACCGTCAGAGGGGATAAGTATATTTTTCGTCCATTTTTACAAATGTTTTAAAGCAATCAAATTGTCTTTAGTTACAAATGGCATGCAACATAAATTAACGTGTCATTCCTCGTTTTTGACGTCACGATTCAATACGGCTGTGGCGACTACTCAGGAGCCTTAAAAATAATTTCACATATGAAAAGATAATATTTTGGTAATAAATAAGAAACGATATCTGATGATCAGTGTCTATCTATAGAATATTTAAAATGTATCTATAAATCAAGAAGCTTTAATGTGGAGAGGAGGGGATGATTATATTATTGAATCTATGTCCTCTCTATTCGTATCACTTTGTCCTTCAACTTTCAAATTTATTATCGAACGTGTTAATAAACAAAACAGTTACAGTTCATGTGAGCGATAGTGAAAAACTTGTACTTAGTCGTTAGCATACTCATTTCTTATTTCACAGAATTTATTTATTGCTCTTTATAGTTTTTATTTAATTATTCAAGATAATTAAATAAACAGGCAGCTGAAACAAGAAATAAGCTTGTCAATGGACGCATCAACGATTCTCAAAGCATGTAAGGATGCTGGAATGAACGAGGTACCAAAATGTTCATTGGTAAACGATTGTTTACCACTAGACCCACCCAAGCAGCAATTAACAAAGGCAGAATTGTCGCCGCAAATAAAGAGATATCATATAAATGACATGGAGGAGGCATACCATTCGAAGCTGCAGGAATTTTGTCTGACGCATCCCATTGTTATGATACATGGTCTTACGGAAGCGCTCAAGATTAATCTGACCAGTTTTTCGACCGGGACTCTGGTCGAAACAAATCCCTCCAAGAGAGTAGAGATACGTGAACAAGTAAAGTACGCTTCTGAGGAGAATTGGGATAGAAATCAAAAAAAGAAAATCTGGAAATATTTCAATCACATGAGTTCTATGACGATCAGAGAGTATGCGAATTATCAAGCCCAAACTATCCTGGATGATTATAAAGAAAATACGTATGGCAATGTATCCACTTCCGACAAGCTCGATCAAATATCCAAGGATAAAGTAAAACAGAAAAGTTTCAAAACAGAAACAGTGAAATTTGCTACCAACGTGGATTTATCAAACGCGAACAAGTGGAAACTGCAATTAAATGAATTAACAAAGTTGCCTCCCTTCCTTAGAGTTGTAAATTGGGACAATAATATGCTTACCCACGTGGGTCATAATATCTTAGGGATGAACACCATTCAGTTATATATGAAGGTACAAAATAATTTATATTATAATAATAATTTGTATCCTTATAATTCTTATATAATTTATCGTAAAATCATGTCATTTGATATAACATAATTTTAAGTTGAAAAGAGTATATCCAACGATATATTTGCAATTGGAGTTGATTGAGATTCAATTTATATATGCAATTGTCTTTAGGTACCCGGCTGCAGAACGCCTGGCCATCAAGAGAACAATAATTTCTGTTCCGTCAACATTAATGTCGGACCGGACGACTGCGAATGGTTCGCGGTGCCGCACGAGTACTGGGGCGTAATACATTCGCTTTGTAATCAAAACGGCATCAATTACTTAAGTGATAGCTGGTGGCCACCAGATTTGGACGTTCTGCATAAGAATAATATTCCGGTATACAAATTCCATCAGAAACCAAGCGATATCGTGTGGGTGAACGTCGGTTGTGTGCATTGGGTGTATGCGGTCGGCTGGTGCAATAACGTCGCGTGGAATGTTGGCCCGTTTACTGCTAGACAATATGAGCTGGCGATAGAACGTTATGAATGGAACAAGGTGCAAAAATTCAAATCAATCGTACCGATGGTGCAGCTTTCATGGAGGTTGGCACGCAAGACTATAGTCTTAGATCAGCAACTGTTCCATCTAATCAAGAACTGCCTGAAGCAAACAATGATATACAATTATTTGATATTCGAATTTTTGAAAGACAAAGGTGTAAAAATACAATATGATAACCAACTCAAGAAGGAGAAAACGCATTATTGTCAAGATTGCAAAGTATGTTCCTCATTTTCAATATATTACATTACATAATATGTATTTAAAGCATTTGTTGCAAAATGCTATTATATTATTTAACATTAAAAACAAATTTTTAATTTTTTGCAGACCGAGGTGTTTAATATATTGTTTTGCAAAGAGGAGGAGAAGAAATTTATGGTATATTGCATAGATTGCGCGCTGAAGAAGTCTCCTTCGTTGAAGGGATTTGATTGCTGGAAGAAGTATCGTATGAAGAAGTTGATGAAAATTTATGATAATTTTACATGCTCTTAATTACTAGTACCATTATCACCGTCAGATGTGGAATTATTGAACTTCATATTTTTCTTTTTCCCGTTTAATTCTAAATTCAAAAACTATTGGTATCTGTATTGTGAATTCAACATCAAGCAAGACTTATATTATGAAGAGTATAATGCTATACGTTTTATTTTACTTTTCATATTTTAACGCTATTATTACGTCACAAATATGAGTAAAGGAATAGAGGAAACATGGTCCACTTTGCAAGTATTATTGCTTCATAATGTGACTGAAATTGTAATATCTAACATTGGACTAGGGATGGGTGATACATATCGAACTTCTGATAAGATTCGTTAAGTATATGTAATTTAGTACGGATTGAGATTGGATTGAAAGTTTATCAATCAAAGCAAAATTTATTAAACTTTAGATTAGTGTGGAAACACTTGGATACTTACTATACAACTTTTTCGATATGATTTACTTATGAAGATTAAGATAAAAAGGAAAATCTTTACTAAAGATATTAAAAATTGTATAAGCATGAAGAATCGCTTATCTTCAATTAATCCTTGTTAGAAAAATAAGATGAACTGTCATATGTAAAATTACTCAAATAATTTATATTTTTGTACGCGAATCGATAGCAAGATTGAAGAAAAGATTTTAATTAGCGAGAACGTCCTTAGAATAATGTCTTTTCATACAATGTGTTACATGTTATTGCATGTATCAATACAACTATTAATAAAAAACTTATGATTTCTTGTTGTCCGAAATTTAATTCCCGGTATAAATTTTAATTAAAATTTAATTTTTTCAAATTAATTTTTTTTACAAAAATTACTTATTAAAATCAATAACCATCAAACAAAGGTCAACACGAAATAAAGGGCGTAACAAATTATTATCATGATGGTAGTTATCATGATTTTCTTATTGTTTTCTGCAATAATTTCCGTTTATTCTAATGTCAGGCGATTATTTGAAGGCATTCCTTTGCATTTTATAAAAAAATTCTAACAACTGATTCATAACTTTGAAAATACCGCGAAATCTGTTGGTCTGAGGAAATTTTACCATTAGGAAAAGTTGTTGTACTGACGTAGCACAATTCGGCACAACTGAAAAAAATCCAAAAATGCCGAATTTTTTATTTATCCCCATCCTTTTTTTAAAAATTTTTACCGAGCCTTAAGCTAATCTCAACTTTTTATACGCGTGCTTCGTAGATCTTGAATAGCACAACACAGCACAATTCGCAGAATTCGATTATCTTACACCTTTCGCAAGTTATACATTTGAAATTTTTCATTCCTAAAAATTCCTAACGGTTACTGCATAACTTCGTCGATATTGCGAAATCTGTTGATCTCAGGAAATTTTGCCATTAGGAAAAGTTGTTGTACTGTTGTAGCACAATTCAGCACAACTAAAAAAAATCCAAAAATGTCAATTTTTTTATTTTCTCCCACGTTTTCAACAATTTCTGTCGTCTCTCCTGCCATTCTAAACTTTTTATGAACGTTCCACGTAGATTTTGAATAGCACAACACAGCACAACTCGCAGAATTCGCTTATTATCTTACACCGTTCACAAGTTACACGGGCTTGAAGTTTTTTATTCCTAAAAATTCCTAAGGCCAGCATAATTTTTTTTTTTTTTGGAAAACGGTTCATGTTATTGAGTTGCGGTTTGCGGCACAATGCGGCACAAACGCAGCACAACAGCACAATCAAGAAAAATTCAAAATTCGAAAAGTGCGAGGCTAGCGAAAGAAACTTTTTTTTTGGAAAACGGTTTATGTTATTGAGCTGCGGTTTGCGGCACAATGCGGCACAAGCATAGCACAACACAGCACAATCAAGAAAAATTCGAAAAGTGGGGGGGCAACTTAACACACGTTATAAATTGAAAAAGAAATAAACTTTTTGACTATATGTATGTATAGATTAGCGTACTTGGAACTTTACTAAAAATACGTGAATGATTTTTGAAACTTCTGGATATCTATACCCAGTAAAAAATTTTACATGAATATGTATAAATATGTCTAAATATACACAAACACGTAATATAATAAATATTCATACATACGTATAATTATATATAAAATTATATGTCCATACATATTCATACATCCCTTTTTCTTTTCTTTTTTCTTCTATTTTTATCATTTAATTCTTTAAAATTCGATGACTACAAAATCGCATGATGGATGAAATTATTTCTATCATGTGATTTTTCAAATTTAAAAAATCACGTACTGACTTAGAACAATCCGTTATTTACATGTTTTAATAATTACATGATTTCATTATGTAACATGATTTTTTTCAGAAGGGTGCCCTTTGAAGAAATATAACCTCATTCGATCATATGTCTATCAATCATTCATTACATCTTAATAAAAGTTCAAAATTTGTAGATTTTTGTAGAAAATAATATGATACTGAACGGTCGAATCTACAACGGGTGTATTCAGTAAAACGCAACAGTTTTGTAACCGTTTTATGATTGCTGAAATAGGATCATTTCTGTAGATCTACAAAAAATTTTATAATTCAATCAGCGCAAAAAAAACTTTCAACAGTTGCAAAATAAACCCTACTGAAAAAAATCACGTTACAACATAATGAAATCATGTAATTAAAATAAGTAAATCACATAACGGATTGTTCCAAATCAGTACGTGAATTTTTTAAATCACAATTTGAAAAATCTCATGATATTAGAAATAATTTCATCTATCACATGACTTTATTGTTATCGAATTTTAAATAATTAAATGATAGAAATAGAAGAAAAAACAAATCATCGTGTAATTTTTCAAATTATGCAATTTTAAAAGATCACGTACTGATTTAGAACAATTCGTTACCTGATTTACATATTTTAATTACGTGATTTCATGATGTAACTTTGTGACGTGATTTTTTTCAGTAGGGAATATTCTGCTAAATGCAGCCATTGGCTATTCACCGAACTCAACAGTTGAGTGAGCGCTCGCTGTTATTGGTGTATTCTTCTAGATCATCCAATCAGACTTTTAGATCTAAAATAATTCATCAATAACAGCGAGCGTTCACTAAACTGTTGAGTTCACTGAACGTGTTCATGTGATTATTTCAAAAATAAACTTATTTATTCCTTTCGTTCCTCAAAATGATGCTAATCAATGTCTATCTATAATACAAATATCACCAACAGAATATTTAAAACGTTATATCTCTATAAATCAAATAGTTTTATTGTGGGGGAAATGTTTATATTATTGAATCTATATTCTCTGTATTCGCATCACTTTGTCCTTCAACTTTCAAATTTTATATCGAATATGTTAATAAACAAAACGGTCATTATAGTTTATTTGTGCGTGTGCGATAACGGAGAACTTTTAACTAGCTGTTAGCATACTTATTTCTTATTTCGCAGAGTTTGTGTAGTACTTCATATTCTTTATTAGTTTTTATTTAATTATCCATCCAGACGGTAGCCGATATTGGAAATAAGCATCTTAATGGATGCCTCAACAATTCTCGAGACATACAAGGATAAAGGGCTGAACGAGGTGCCAAAATGTTCGTTAGTAAACAATTGTTCCCTGCCGTACCCGTGCAGTGAATTATTAACGAAGGAACAATTGTCACCGCTGATACACCGCTATTATATCAACAGTAAAGAGCAAGCAGTCCATTCGAAGCTAAAAGAGATTTGTATGATGTATCCAATTGTCGTGATACATGGCCTCACGACAGCGCTCGAAATTGATCTGGACGTTTTTTCGACTGAAAGTCTGCTCAAGACAAATCCAAATATGCCAATCGATGTGCTCAAACAAATAAAGTACTCTTCTGATGAGAATTGGGATACACAGCAGAAAAAGAAGGTCTGGGAGTGCTTCAGCCACAAGAGTAGTTCGACAATTAAAAACTATGCGCAATATCAAGCCCAAACTTTCTTGGATGATAATGACGAAACTGTGCATGACAACATATCCACTTTCAGCAGTCCCGGTCAAGTGACCAAAGATAAAGAGAAACGGACAGTAAAATTCGCTACCAATGTGGATTTATCAGTTGTGGAAATGTGGAGACCGCAGTTATACGAGTTAACGAAGTTACCACCCTTTCTCAAAGTTGAATGTTGTGATAATATGCTTACGTACGTAGGCTATGATATCTTAGGAATGAATACCATACAGGTATATATGAAGGTATATTTAAAATTTGATATAACATAATTTTAAGCTGGAACGGGGATCCAGCGGTATATTTGAAAATATGTTGATTGCGTTTAATTTATATGTGTAATTGTCTTTATTATAGGTACCCGGCTGCAAAACGACCGGCCATCAAGAGAATAATAATTTCTGTTCCGTCAACATTAATACCGGACCGGGTGATTGCGAATGGTTTGCGGTATCATACGAATACTGGGGTACAATACATTTGCTTTGTGCGCAAGCCGGCGTCAATTACTTGAGTGACAGTTGGTGGCCGCCGGATTTGGACGTTCTACATAAGAATAATGTCCCGGTATACAGATTCCTTCAAAAACCGGGCGATATCGTATGGGTGAATGTCGGTTGTGTGCACTGGGTGTGTGCGATTGGCTTATGTAATAACGTCGCGTGGAATGTTGGCCCGTTTACTGCCAGACAATATGAGTTAGCGATAGAACGTTACGAATGGAACAAGCAGCACAAATTCAAATCAATCGTACCGATGATGCAGCTTTCATGGAGGTTGGCATGCATGACTAAAATCTCAAATCAGCAACTATTCCATTTAATCAAGAACTGCCTTAAGCAAACAATGATATATAATTACTTGATACTCGAATTTTTAAAAGGCAAAGGTGTGGAAGTGCAACACAATAATCAACTCAGGAAACAAGCGCATTATTGCAAAGATTGCAAAGTACGTTTCTCATTTTCAACATATCATACAATATATATTATGGATTGTTTTATATATTTATTTAATATATATTATATTACATAATATGTATTTAAGTTATTTAG